TTATATATTGTTCGAGTTGCAAATATATAATAAAATTAAACTACGTTTACATGAATGAGTGAGTTGATTTTTTTCATTAATATCTAAAATCAAAATATATGATTTTTTTTTTTTTTTTTTTGAAAAACAAATATATGATATTTTAGTGAAAACTTTCAAGACTCTGGTATAACTCAAACCCCACTCTATAATACTGGCATGTAAAATTACAATTTCAAAGCATATTTTATGTTTGTGCTTCAACTTGAATGGCACGTTTTGCCATATACATAGATTCTTAATTAGGTATTCAAATGATCATGGCGGTCTCTGAGATTTTGAAGGTTTTATGCAAAATTTATCTCCTTCAGATAATTTTTCAAAAAATAGTTGGAAAATGTATTGATGTTAGACAGTAATAACTTGAATCAAAAAAAATTTTAGGATTCACTGATTGTAAGTGTATAAATATTATTAAATAATAAATAAAAAGAGCTACAAACATAACCTTAACTAAATAATCAAAAGCAATTCAATCTTAAACAATCAAACAATCAAACAAACAAAAAAACTTCAAAAACTCTAACTTTAAAGTTTCACTTGAATATATAACATTTTATATAATAAAATTGAAAAAAAAAAAACGTTTTTAAGGTGTTGTTATTGGCACTTCAAATATCTCATTATGCACTCCAATTTTTTATATTTAGAAAGGAAAAAATTTACACTTGTAACTTGTAAGGAATACACAATAAGATTTTAAAATGTTAATAAACGCAATTTTTTAATATATAGCATTAGTACCTATAAACATTAGATGGCAACATTTTTTGAGAACCCATTCAAATTTGGGTCCTATGCGATAGCACATCTCGCTTCCCTTCAAAGCCGCCTCTGCGAATGATGAGTTAGACATGAGTTGGGTTTCATTTTTCTTGGTTAAACTTGGTGTGTCATTATTTACTATTTGGGAAAAGTTTTGAGAGGAATATTTACCCAACTCTTCCATAGCCATGCTATAGTTTATAAAAGGGTAAATAGGAGGACACACCGTTAAATGATAAGATTATTGTTTGCACAAAGAATAACTTTCGAAAAATGATAATTACGAATTCTTGTTTAATATTATTCGACGTTTTTATTTGATTTAATGGAGATAACTTTAATATTTATGCGTGGGGCTGGTATGTTCTTAATAAAAATATAAAGAAAATTAATGAAAATAGTTTGAAAATTTTGAGTTTTAACGATAATGACATAATAAAAGGTAAAGTGAATAATACTAAATTTAATTTTTTAATATAAAAATATAATTTTTCATTAAAATAAATAATAACTCGAGTTTTTCATTAAAATTTACAAAAATATATGCCGAAGAATAAAAACTCACTTTGTGTCGACCAAATAGTACCACTATCGTAGTATTTAATATATTATTTTTTGTACAAGATGAGTTTATTTGGCCTTGTTAATTTGTGCGTCGCATAAAAGGCAAAAAAAGGTAAAGGAAAAAGGGAAAGATAATTAAATGGGTATATGTCTAAATCAAGGCATGTCACGTAGGTTCGTCATCGATTATATGTCACTGCTGACAATATGACTCGTATCTGATTGGACATGCACAGGTCAGAGATGCTCCAAAATCCATAAGATTTTGACATAAACTACCCAAATCTCAGTAAATATCCCAATGAAAATCTAAATTCGTGCCTTTTGTTAGTGCATTATTACATCTCACTTTCATATTTGCCATCATGATTGTGACATCTAAATCATGAGTCATCACCTTGGATTCATCTCACCCTTCTAATTGATATCTTAGTTATACTAGTATCTGGGGGTGAAGATGTAGATAAAAGCGTAAAGCTATAGGGTTATTACGGTTTGAATTGTTGTATTGTATTTATTTTTATATGAGAGTTTTTTACATTAACTCAAGCCAAAACACGTTGAATTTATATGGTACATTGACTCACGTCAACATCCATTGAATATCTTATGATACGTTGGCACCCACGCCAACACTACCCTTAAATTTGGTGTGTAAATGTCTCCTAAGCCCAACTTGCCAAGTGAGTCATGAAACAATTTTGCAGACACCACATGTGTTAAAACATCTGTGAGTTGTTGGTGTGTCCTCAGGAATGGAATGTCTACTAGCTAAACATCTAGCTTCTCCTTGATTTTTCATTGGTACCTAAACTTCAAATATGATACTTTAGCTAAAACATTTTTTTTAGAAGAAAAATAAATTGGTATTTAAACTAAAAGATCTCTAAATATAACAAGGAGAGTTTAAGCACATAAATTAAGCTACTATTGTATGGGTATTATTTGTATTCATATGTTTACTGACAACGAAATGAATGAAAAAATAGGTGTTCCTTTAAATATCCATTCCTTCTCATATCCAAGATTAATTTGATATCTCTTATGAGAGAGCTCATAGGTCTTTATTTAGGTGAGCAAACTAGTTTGACCGAAATATAAAATAAAGCTTATATAGTAAAACCTCAAAAGTAGTACTCTATAAAGGAATAATCTTTTAAGTCATAAAAATTTTTGACCCCAACTTGAGTCAATTTATTTATAGGAATAAATTTCACATTGTAACAAGTTATAATTCTTTTTGGTCTCATATTAAGGAAACACACATTCATATAGTAGTAACGGTCAATTAGTACAAAAAATGTAACAGTACAAGTAAAAGTTTAAGATGAGTTAAAATATTTCTCTAAAGTTGTTTGAGACAATGTTGTAGTTTCCAAAGTTAATGTCACATCTTCAAGGTTGCTCGTATATATGTGCAAGAAATAAAATGCTTGGCACCCCAAGGAATCGTATATAGAAAATACAAGATTCATTAAGGATAAATAAGTAATATTTTTTAACCACGCCTCTATTAAGTAATTGGTCCCAACTTTATGACTTTATAAAGGTTTTATTGTATTAGTGATGACCTCATTTACATTATCAACTTGTTTAATTTTCTTTTTGCCATGACTAACGTATAACTAAAATCTTCTCATTGTTTTTTATAGCATACATGCATGTATGCTAAGAATTTTGAGAGAGACTTTAACGAAGGAAAAAAAAAATTGGGCAATAGAAGTGTTGAAACTATATGAGACATATGAATGGGTGTTTTCTCAATGCATGGTTTGCTTTACTTATAAATTTTGTACCATACCCGTTACAACTGCATCTGTAGAAATAAGTTTTTCAAAATTAAAGTTGATCAAATCTTATCTTTGATCAACCATGTCACAAGAAAGATTGAATGAGTGTTATTTCATCAATTGAAAAAGAATTGGTAGAAAAATTAGATTTTGTTAACTTAATTAGTACATTTGCATCTAGAAACACGGAAAATGCGAGACGTATGATATTTAAGTAATGTTTGCATATCTTTTTTTTTTATTATTATTAATAAATAATGATATTTGATGTAGAAATAGACTTTTTCATGTATTGAGCGAATTTGTTTTTGTACATATCAATGTGCAAAAGGTTGAGAGTCAGAGAACTCTAGGTCCTGACTTCAAAAGCTTGACTAGGGCCCCAAATTCTCAGGGTGGCCCTACATGTATAACATTTTTTCTTGATCTTTTTCTTATTCTTATTAGTTTATGTTAAAGATGGTTCCATTTATGTTTAAATGAATAACATGTAAGTATGGTTTTCGACTGTTAGATGCTGCCAAATTTGACTATGACATTATGGAAAAGGTTGAGATTTAAATTTGATCGGGGACAATGTCTCAACTTCTTATAAACTCTAGTCAGATTTCTTAACCTTCTAACTTGGGAATTCTTCGCATTTTCAATAATAATAATAAAAAAAAAAGTCCATCTCTTTGACAAAAAACTTAAAAAAAAAAAATAAAAAAATCCATCGATTACATATCTTCTGTTTGCTACAATGTGATTTCTATAATTGACAACTGTAATATCCTACTAGAGAGAGAGAAAAAAAAAATGTTTGCTTATTATATTATTCATTTCTATTTTTTATCAAAACGTGATACTAATACTTGTTCACATATTGTATTTAATTTGGTTGATCGAATTTTATTTATAAGTTAATAAAAATAATAAATAAATAAAAGGTTTTGGGCAGAGAAACAAAAATATATAGATATATAATACAATACAGCACAGGATTATGGGGAAAAGGGTGAGGAAGTACTTGTTGTATGTGGCAGCTTTACAGCGAGGCTAGCTGGGTCTTAGCGGGAGCCAGCTGGCGAGTGTACGGCGGCGCATACGCAGCTACCGTCGCCGTTTCCCTCTTTTCGGAGCGCAGCTGTCATCGAATATGGCATTGCCAACACCCACGCCCCACACTTTTTGACGAAAAAAAAAAAAAAGCACCCCACGCCCCACACAACAAAAAAAACCCCAGCTTTTTTATTTTAAAATTTAAAATTATTTGATTGGGGAGAGAGAGGCCAAAAGCCCAAAACCCCTCCTTACACAGCTTTTTGTTCCGGTTTTGCCCTTTTTGGTACATGGATGGATCCATCTCGCACCTCAATTGTGCAGTGTAGTCAGTGCTGAAAATCATGAAACCCCCAAACTATTTTTTTTTTTTTTGTCCAATGATTCGTTAGGATACTATTATTTTGATACGACTCAAAGTATTCTATAGCGGCCTCTAATGGCACACTAAGGTCTTTTTCTCATTTAGAAAAATCTTCATTTATCATGTTGTTGAAACATACAATTAAAGTATTCTATAGCCGTCTCTAATCTTCATTTTAAAGTTAAACAGTAAAAAATGTTTGCTAAAAATAAAATATCCCATTTATTTTAATAGCAACAACATCTAGAGAGCATATTTTAAAAGTGGCTTGTATGTTGTTTTTTAAAGCTGCTTTAATAAAAAGATGAGTTGAGTCTTTAATGAATATTTTTAATTGATGCAATACGTTAATTAATTAAAAAATGACATTATTTATCCTTCTAAACACATTTTTTCCCTGAGTACAAAGTGACAACCACCACCTACCCTTACAAACTCTAACCTCTTACACCACCACTGCCATTACTACCACTATTGTTGCCACCACCAACATTACAACCATACCCGTCACCACTACCACCAGAATTGCCACTACCATCGTTGTTGGCACCGCCACCACCATGAATACAACCACCACCATTGCCATCACAACCACAACGGTCACCATCACTGTTGTCGCTGCCCTTACCACCATTGTTATCTCTTGCAGCCCAACCACCACACCCCTTTATTGGCACCATCACAACATTGCCTTCACCATCATTGTTGTCGCCGTCACCAACACTATTACGTCCATTTTTACAATTATATACATTGCTATCATTTTTACATTAAAATTTACCAAACGCTTTTACACTGCTTTTCAAGCTAACACTTTTAAAATATAGTTTATTAAACGCTCAACTGCTTTATCTTGCAACTGATTCTTCTTAAAATACAACATAAGCAGATTTTCAAAAAAGCACATCAATCCCAAATTGGCCCATAATAATACAAAAGGAATTCATGTGGAGCCAAAAAATAATCGCAAAAATTCAAAAGGCGATGCGTAGACCTTTTCTTAAGAAAGACAAGATTGCTTTTATTAAATGGGCACGCTTATAATATTCCTCGCTAGGGGTGGGTTCGTTTTCATTCGGTTCGGTTCAATTTTCTTTTGATTTTTTTTGGTTCGGTTTTTTTTCAATTTGGTTTTCTTCGGTTCAGTTTCAGTACGGTTTTGGTTTTTATTTTATTTTATAAAACTTGATACTTTTTTAATATGGAACTTAGAAAAGGCTTGCATTGGTAGACTATGAACAAGTGGAAAGTGGAAGGTAGTTGTATATATACAAGATCATATAAACCAATCCTATTATATTAACAACCTCAATTGCAAAGAAAAATGATCACCATATCCATTCAAAAAGCAAACAACACAAAGAAACTCTTCTAAGTTCCAAAGCCTTCCAAAACTTTCCTCTATAACCAATAAAATATACTCCCTAATTGAACCAAGTATGCTTCTTGAAAAAGCCCTAGGTTAGTTTCAAACTTGGTAACAAAGTTTCACAAAAGAAACACCATGGGCATACATTCATAAAGTGTAAAGGGATTCGGTTTGATTCGGTTCAGTTCGGTTTCCGAACCTCCAAAATCGAAACCAAACCAATAAGGTTCAGTTCTGTTTAGTTTTTCTTTTTCGGTTCGATTTTTTTTTTATTTTCGGTTTTTCTGTTTCGGTTCGATGTTCAATCTAGTTTTGTTCGATTTTTTGAACCCACCTTTATTCCTCGCGCAGCTCAGCATCCCTAAAGGTCTAAGCAGCTGACAACGACTGGCTCAAAGCTCCTTTGCTCGTGGCATGGAAAAGTCAAAGGTATTAACAATAGGGTTAATTACTAAATCCTATTTGCTAATACATTCTAATTGAAGATCACCTTTATTAAGTAAGGAATTCCTATCACTATCAATTGGAGATATTCCCATCACCATTCTAAGATATTATCTCCTAATTGATATCTTGGGAATATTATTTTCTCGCGCATCTTATAGATGACATACCTTGGCCAATAGGATGCCGTCATGTGTAGTGCAAAACCCGAACCCCATGGTTGGCAACATTCTCCTATAAATACCTCAATCTCCACTAAATTTCAGTAAGTTTTTTGCTACGCATACAAGCCCTAAACAATCACTCTTTTCAAAAGAACTAACTTAAGCATCAGAAATCTATTGGGCGAATCCCCCACTTGATGGCGTGTGAGGCTTTAGTCTTTAATGTGTTGATTGTTTTGTAAATATATATTCGTCAACACGGAATACAATGGATTATTGCTACCACAATTTCCACTTATGGAAAATGAGTTGCATACTTATTCCAAATACGAAGACTACGAAAGCATCACTTAGTCTTTAGTTAACCCCCAATTGGAAGTCTCATAATCTTCCAGACAAAATAAAACTAATTATTATCCCACAATCACAAATCATGACAAATTTACCACACACGAGTATAAAATCTTGGATTTCTCTTTAACCTCCACAAAATCTTCCCCCACAAGGGTGAAAAAATCGCCGCAGATACTGGGACAAATCCGCCATTTGGACGAATTCCAGGGCAATTTTGTCATTTTGACCACTATTTAAGTACCCACCAATTCGCATTCCTACAACACTGGCTTCACAACGCCTCTCTCTCTGGCGCCTTTTCTCGAGCGGGTCACCCGCACCACTTTCCGGCCACTATCGCCGGAAATAGTACCGGAGATCAAACTCCGACCAATCTCCGTCGATAGACTCAAACTGTTGGAACCATCTGAACGCCTCTTTCGACCGTTGGAGGGTGTGAGAGTGACAGAGAGAGCTCTAACAAAATCACAATCAAACGCCACAAACCACAGAAGCCGGACCGCGTTCATGGTGACACGGTGTCGTTTCACTAGTAGGCCGACGAGACGACACCGTTTGGCGGTGAGATTTTGAATTGGGAACAGGGGGCGTGGATAAGTCAGGGGTATGGGGAAGGTAGCGGTGGGATTGGCGGTTGGGGTGGCGGTGGCGGCGTGTGCGGTGGCGACGATGGTGGTGGGTCGGAGGATAAGGAGCAGAAGGAAGTGGGGAAGAGTGTTTGGGGTCTTGAAGGACCTGGAGCTAAGCTGTGAAACCACAGTGGGGAGGTTGAGGCAGGTGGTGGACGCCATGGCGGTGGAGATGCACGCCGGCTTGGCCTCTGACGGTGGCTCCAAGCTCAAAATGCTGCTCACTTTTGTGGATAAACTACCCGATGGGTAATAGTTTTGAATGCTCCACTTGATTTTCTTCTTCCATGGGGATTTTCTTTTATCTGTTTAATCAATTGGGTTTTGGTTTTTTGTTGGTTTTAGATGGTAATGTTGTGTTTGATGAAAATTTGGGTGGTTCTGTTAATCGAGTATTTTTTTTTTTTTTTTTATTTTTATTTTCCCTAATTGGATTTTAATGGGTTTATCGTTTATGTTTTGTTGCGTTTCTTTGATTATTTGGGGCAAGAAAGTAACTTTATTTTAAAGTTTTGGTATTTAGGGACGTATTTGATTGGAGATGACATGGTTTGATGATTTATTATTTTGTTACAATTCTCTTACTGTCATGGTTCTTTTTCAATTTATCTTGTTACTGTAGTTTCGTTCCCCCCACTTTTGTATGCATTTCTATTGCTATCTGATGTGTGTCGTCGAATAGTTCTCTCGTTTATATTTCTTAGCGAAGGTGCTATTTTGGAATTGTTGGATATTGGTCTTCTTTCTGCCTTTCGTCTCAGTTGAACTGATATTCAAGCTCTTAGATTGGTATGATTGAACTGACATTCAACTTTTTCAATTGGGATCTTGGTTTTCTTATTTTTTTAATTTTATAGTCGTCCTTGATGTTTTGACGTTCGACACTAATTGATCAATCCAATCGGTATTGTGCTGGGCATAAGTTTGTTTCTTGAAAATTTACCAATATGACTTCGAGAATTGAAAGGGTTCTTTCTTCCATTTCCTTCTGTTCTCACGCTGATATAGTAAAAGTCTTTATGAGTGTGGTTTTAAGATTCAATGTATTGCTCATCTAGAAGTATTTGACTTTTCATTTTGTATTATCCTAAAATCTATTCCACAGTACTTTCACATTCAGTTATGTTATGTTTGGTTGAAAATTTCATCTAACTTTGGACTCGATTGTTAAATACGCACTACAAGAACACTACCAACGAACTACTCAAGCGCTACAAAACACTACAAATGCAGTACAAAGACACTAAATAAAGGACTTACAATTGTCATTTCAAAGTTCCCTCTATTGTATTGCATCTAGTCATTTCCAGGTCCTTCCCGCTAACTTTTGTACTGCATTCCTAACAATTTTAGCCTAAGTTACATGGAACTCTAAAGTCCCTCATTTAAACACACTATCATAGTTTTCAACTAGGACATGATTGTGCCATTTATTGGTGATACTGTTGGCCATCAGCTTAGACATAAATATAGTTGATAAGTCATTATTTACTTAGAAATATGTACTATCCGATTTTACGTCCATATCAATTATCCGTCCAGCTTGCCAATGATTGATGCAATGTCTTGTTGTCAATAAAAGGACCCATTGCCACTGAATCTATAATTTGAAAATGTGTTTCAGTATATGATGTTTGTAATGGTGATGATTTTGTGTACAATAATAGCGTGAAAGTCTTGCGTGACTCTTGTGATGGCTGTATTTTGGGTGGTGTGGATAACCAAATAGAAGATTTTTTTTTTTTTTTATATAAATATGGTGGGGTGGGGATGGAGCTTTTGTTGGATACAGTTTGATTTTGGACTTCTTTATATAGGCTTTGGTTTCTGTTGAGTTTCAAGAGGTGCTATTCTTCTTGATGATGCAAATTGGCAGGATGTTGTCATTTAATATTATGTTTAGATTAGCTTTGGTGATAGGTTTCCTGTTATCTTATTGACAGTGCTTAAAGTTTCTCTATTGCTGGACAGTTTGTTGATTCTGCATGTGCATAGTCTTTTAGTTCTTTATAAGTATTGTTTCTTGTTAAAAAAGAAAATGAGATTGATTAGTTTTATTTTTTATCATTTGGGTCAGGAGCGAAAAAGGAACTTATTATGCACTAGATCTTGGTGGTACTAACTTTAGGGTCATGCGGGTTAAGCTTGGAGGTACAAGGTCCTCTACCTTGGAACATGATGTATATCGACCAGCTATTACTCAAAATTTGATGACTGGGACAGGCGAGGTAACTGAATTTGTACATTCAGATATCTATAACTGCTTAGCAAATACTTGAAAACTCTCAACGTTCTACTGTCAGTGTCATTAAGCTGATATATCTCAATTGCCTGCAGGTTCTATTTGATTTTATTGCTTCATCAGTAAAGGAGTTTGTTGAAAGAGAAACAGACGATTCTAAGCTTTCGCTGGACAGAAGAAGGGAGCTTGGATTTACGTTCTCTTTTCCAGTGAAACAAACCTCTGTTTCATCAGGCACTTTATTAAAATGGACAAAAGGGTTTGCGATTGAAGACATGGTTAGTTGCATGGTGTCCAGTATATTGTACTTCAACAAAACTCAACTATTATAGAGAACTTTGCGAAGGCAAGAGCATAGTTGCTTGAAAAAATATCTTATTGCTGATGCATAACGAGTCTTACATGGATCACTATTTTAATCAGTTTGAGGTTCATTTTTAAGGTTGAGTTTTGATTTGTGCATGATCCAGAAAGCTGATTCCACGTGGTCCAAACCAAATACCAAAAAAGAAAAAAAAACCAAATAATCATCCTGATTTTGTTTAATTGTATCAACTAAGACATGTCGTAAAAAGGATTTGATGATTTTGCAATTTTCTTAATAAGTTGTTTTTTAGTAAAGTACGTGTGCAGGAGCTTCCCCCCTTCTCACCTGATATATGCGTGCTTTAAAATGTTTTGTTAGATTGGAAAAGAGGTTGCAGGATGCTTGGAGAAAGCAATGACCAAGAAGGGTCTAAATATGAGGGTGGCAGCACTTGTAAGATTGCTGTTTCTCATCTTTAAGTAATTTTACTTTTTGTAAATTCCTACTAGATTAAATTTGTGCTAACATGGGGTTTGTTTTAAGTGGAAAAAATGTTCTAGAAATTTTATCTTTTAAATAGAAAATATTGTTTTAAGGGGAAAATTCTTAATATTGTCTCCGCTACATATACTGCAGTCCCTAAATCACATCAGAGGCAAGTTGATCACTGTAATAAATTCACTATATGTTTGGTGGTATTATTGTATTGCCTATATGTCTTTTATCGAATTGAAAATTATGCCTGGACTCTTGAATTTCTTTTGTATAGACGACTCTTCTTTGGAAAAGCAATTCATTGAACGAAAACTATTAAGTGGTTTTTATAAAGGGAAAGGGTAGCGGCTTCTGATGTGGAACCCTAAATTCAGTATTTTGCATTGTAACTTGTGAACATAAAAATATCCTTGTATTTTATCAGTTATGTAACTTTTGCGGGCAGTGCCCCTGTACAATTATTTGTGTGATTCTGATTACTGCTTTGGATGTAAAATCTGTAAACATAGTTCTTCTTTTCCTTTAACCAGGTCAATGACTCTGTGGGAACATTATCACTTGGACATTATCACGACACAGACACTGTTGCTGCAGTAATAATTGGAACCGGCACTAATGCCTGTTATTTGGAAAGGACAGATGCTATAATTAAGTCTCAAGGACTACTTACAGCATCTGGAGGCATGGTATCTATTATCTTGTATCCCTTCTTATATATATGCATATGTTTATATAATTTATTCGTTTACCTTGATGAGATGGTGCTTTTTTTAACCATCTGTTCACTTGAAATCGTTGTTTTGAAATAATATTTAATTGTTCTATATTAGGTTGTCAATATGGAATGGGGAAATTTTTGGTCTTCTCATTTACCAAGAACTGTGTATGATACTGAATTAGATGCTGATAGCCCTAATCCAAATGATCAGGTAAGATTCATTTTATTACTCGTTTTATTATTGATTTTGCAGTTGTTGAATCAAATATGATGTTTTAGAATCTCATTTAGTCAAAGAACTTTTCAACAGGGTTTTGAAAAATTGATATCGGGAATGTACCTGGGCGATGTTGTTAGGAGAGTGATTGTCAGAATGTCACAGGAGTCAGATATTTTTGAGCCTAGATCTTCCAAGTTATCTATGCCATTCATTTTGAGGTATTCTCTCTCTGCTCCATTTGCTGATACTGTTTGGTTTTATTGGCTGAATTGCAAAATGCCATTAGAATAATTAGTTAATATTGATATGATCATTGTTCTAAAATCCCCGCCTAGGCGCTTAGCGGTTGGTCACCGCCACAATTAACCCCTAGGCGTTTAAAGAAAAATAAGAAAGGGCGCCTAGACCTGCCTAGACGCCAGCCTAGCCTGCCTAAACCCGCCTAGATCGCCTAGGTCGCATCTCTCACTTATACAAAAAATAGATAACTTCTTCTAGGCAGCCGGCCAGCCTGCCTAAACCCACCTAGACCGCCTAGGTCGTGACTCTCACTTAGACAAAAAATAGATAACGTCCATTTTACATTTTATTTTTTTTTCAATAAATTCTAAGAGACTTGTTGGATACTTGGATGAACACATTATATATGCTTGTTCTCCATATTTTCAATTTGTTCCGGTACTTTATAATTTAGGTCATTCTGTTTTGCAATTTATGTATTCCAATACAATTATATTTTTCTCTAGTATAAGTAGGCATATTTTTATGTGTTTATTTTATATACAACTTTTTCTGACAATATTAGAAAAATTTGATTGTGGCAAGTTTCGGTAATGTTATCATGTGTTGAAGGCTAAATGTGAAAATACTATGCAATATCAATTGATGTGATTTCTCCATCTTCACAAAAGCATTTAAAATTGAACTTATATTATGCTCAGGACGATCAAGCTTGTAATGTTGTTTGTAAACGTTAGAAGTCTGAAGTGAAGTGATGAGAAATTAGAGATGTATTGCAAGATAGTTTATCCCCTGTTATATGTGACAAACTCCCTATTGGTAATTGCTGTGGATCTCTTCTGAATGTTTCCCAAGCCCCGTTACATATTGTAAGCATCTGTGGCATTAGGACATTTCCCACAATTTGCTCCTAAGTAAAATGTTGGAAATTTCTGTTATACAACCGGAGTCAATCGTCTTCTTTTAAAAAATACTATTCTTCGGTGTATATTTTCCAGTACACCGTTGATTGCTGCAATGCACAAGGATGATTCTCCAGACTTGGAAAAAGTAGGAAGCATTTTAAGAGAGAGCCTGGAGGTAGACGAGACACAATCGATTCATATTGATTCTTTGTCCGTCAAGAATTTCTAGTTTCTAACAGAATATTGTTTGGTGATCTGGCCATTTCAGATTCCGGATGTCCCTCTGAAGGGCCGAAGGCTCATAGTCAAGGTGTGTGACGTTGTGACCCGCAGGGCTGCTCGATTGGCAGCTGCTGGTATTGTGGGGATCTTAAAGAAGATTGGCCGGGATGGGAGTGGTGGAATCACAGGCGGAAGAAGTAGAAGCGATCACAAAATGAGGAGAACGGTTGTGGCAATGGAGGGGGGTTTGTATACACGCTATACAATGTTTAGAGAGTACTTACATGAAGCGTTGACGGAAATATTAGGCGAAGATATTGCGAAACATGTCGTACTCAAGGTCACGGAGGACGGATCGGCCATGGGAGCAGCTCTGCTGGCTGCTGCACATTCATCCGACCCAGTGGATAACGTACAGTTGCTATGATTATATATATCTATATATATACGTATACACCCCTGCAATTGTAGATTTCATTTTCCATAGGTGATATCTGTTTGTGTAAAAGGAAAGTTTGTCCATATTTTCCTTATTTTAATTTCTTTTGTAAATGCGTATGCTTATGCTGCCAATGGAAATGGAAATCAATGTAATTCTTTGAAATGGCAGGACTAATGCAAGTGTCGCGTATTTTTGTTTGTGAACAAATTCAACGCAAAAACTTGTTTGGATGGCCGACTTTCGGAAAATTCCATGAATTTTAAACTGGGTCGTTAAAAAGCGCTACAAGAAAATTACCGAAGAATTACTCAAACACTACGAAGCTAATACGAAAACGCTACAAATCCAACGAAGTATAAATCAAAAATGTCTGGACTTGTTGCACCTTCTATATGAGAGCATGCAAACCCCAAAACCCCATTCCATAAAACGTAATGATGACACCGGCTGCAGAGAAACCGTTGAAGAATAAGATTCCGATGAAGGAAGCATGGCGACAAAACCCGTCAAGCCCTCCACCACCACCAAAGCTGGTGCTCGGACGACCCCACTCCACCACCACCATCACCAACCGTCAAGGCTCAAGCTCATCTTTAACCTTCTAGACAGTCGAATCCTGTTGCAAAGATAAGTATGGTGAAGCAGCCTTCTACACAGCAGCGTATTGACTCCGTCGGATCCACCCCAACGCCCCTCCCTTCCAAGCTCCTCCCACTGACAACTCCTGGGCAATTTAGACAATATTCCCGATACCCTCAGCGGCATTTGCCTTCTCGAACTCAAGAGAGGAAGCTGCCAATACAACCACAAGGCGGTTGTGGAGTATCATCACTTGTTACACGAGCAGATTTCCGACATTTTTGCGCGCTGCCTCAAGTCTGATGCTTACAACTTGGAGAACCACTTCAATAGCTTGAACAATGATGATCCCAACATACAAGAACACTTTCAGTTGGAGATAACTGATACTACCGATTATTTCCATTCCATGGGCGGCTCGATGGACCGCGCAACTTTGGTGTGTGAAAGCATTGCAAGGAAGATTTTCCCGCGAGAATTGTACCTAGGGCTCGAGATCCAACAGCGGCCTTCAAATGTGCTCATAGAACTGACATTGAGGCCAATTGAGCGAGAGCCCTGCTCCTGCTTAGCTGAGAAGTATTTGAAGGACTTGAAAGCCTCGGGTGGCAACTCCTCAACTCCAAGATGATATATCCGCTGGTGCCCTGCTCACACGATATCACGCACTACGTGACAGATTATGACTTGCGTCAAGTGGCTGAGCTTCAGTGGCAGGCAGTGGTTGAGCACATGTATTTGAAGCAGGGGAAATTAAAAAACTACCTGGCCGTGTATGACAGGCAATCTTGACTGACCAAGCCAATGATGTGGCTTTGGCTTTGGCTTTGACAGTGTCGGTGTTCGATCTGGGCGGGGCACCATGGAAAGGAAAGGCCTTCACTTTTGGTCGAAACCCTCGGCTGTTTACCATACAAGACCGCCTTTGTGAGAATGGACGAAATGGTTGATGTGACGTGTAGGCTGATTTGAAGCTCGAGCGATGATCAAAAGGGTGTTTATGTCTCGTACGCCCTAAAGCCATCTCTGCCAAATAGTATCAAGATCTTGTTGTCTCCCACTGCCTTTAATTTTCCTTCCATTAAACCTCTTCAGCATTCAACTCGCTGCTGGGAAGCTGAATAACTGCTGGCGAGAAGACAGAATATATCCCAGCTTCTTCATGGGAAAACCGGCAGACATTGTCAAGCAAAGATTACCGATCAAAGGGGTCGGTGGAGATTTACAATCAAAACGACCTCTTCTCTTGGTGATGTATTGTTTTCCAGCAACTGGAGAAAGATTGTTCAAGATTAGTCCTGTGCTTCGTGGACTACCAACGACGCTGGTTAATTTGATGGAGAATGGTGATTTACAACAGCAAAACAAAAACTTGTTAAAATGATTAACTTGTTATTTTGAATGTTTTCAAAGAGGAGAAAGAACATGATTCGTAAAGGAAATAACAGATTGAGTTATGCAAACATCAGGTTATATCATTTGAAGCTACCACGGAGAGTTAAACTAAGACAATTAAGCAACTGAGATCAAAACGAAACACTTTGTATGAGGAAAATTGAACAAATTCCCAGGCTCCGTGGCCTTCTTTGAGCATAATAAATCTTTGTCCTAAATAAGTAAACGAAGAACTGCAACGGGCCTCCTAGGATGAATCTGTTACGTCCTTTTTGTAATTCAGGATCACCTAGTGTACAAGTTTGGCCTTACGATTCTCACCTTTTGTACAACGAATACATGTCACTGCCAACCAACTGCCCCGACAGCCATTTGTGCCAATCCTGATCTTGCTATGACTCGGGGCTTCTCAGTTTACAGATTTGCTGACTTGTTGATGACTCCCACATCTGCTTACATTTTATCCTCGAGTTACTGCCGCTGTAGGCTACTGCATTTTTGCTGCAAATTTTTTTTGTAAATGCGTATGCTTATGCTGCCAATGGAAATGGAAATCAATGTAATTCTTTGAAATGGCAGGACTAATGCAAGTGTCGCGTATTTTTGTTTGTGAACAAATTCAACGCAAAAATTTGTTTGGATGACCAACTTTCGAAAAATTCTAAGAATTTTAAACTGGGTCGTTAAAAAGCGCTACAAGAAAATTACCGAAGAATTACTCAAACACTACGAAGCTAATACGAAAACGCTACAAATCCAACGAAGTATAAATCAAAAATGTCTGGACTTGTTGCACCTTCTATATGAGAACATGCAAACCCCAAAACCCCATTCCATAAAACGTAATGATGACACCGGCTGCAGAGAAACCGTTGAAGAATAAGATTCCGGTGAAGGAAGCATGGCGACAAAACCCATCAAGCCCTCCACCACCACCAAAGCTGGTGCTCGGACGACCCCACTCCACCACCACCATCACCAACCCTCAAACCTCAAGCTCATCTTTAACCTTCTAGACAGTCGAATCCTGTTGCAAAGATAAGTATGGTGAAGCAGCCTTCTACACAGCAGCGTACTGACTCCGTCAGATCCACCCCAACCCCCCTCCCTTCCAAGCTCCTCCCACTGACAACTCCTGGGCAATTTAGACAATATTCTTGAGACCCTCAGCGGCGTTCGCCTTCTCGAACTCAAGAGAGGAAGCTGCCAATACAACCACAACGCGGTTGTGGAGTATTATCACTTGTTACACGAGCAGATTTCCGATATTTTTGCGCGCTGCCTCAAGTCTGATGCTTACAACTTGGAGAACCACTTCAATAGCTTGAACAATGATGATCCCAACATACAAGAACACTTTCAGTTGGAGATAACTGATGCTACCGATTATTTCCATTCCATGGGCGGCTCGATGGACTGCGCAACTTTGATGTGTGAAAGCATTGCAAGGAAGATTTTCCCGCGAGAATTGTACCTAGGGCTCGAGATCCAACAGCGGCCTTCAAATGTGCTCATAGAACTGACATTGAGGCCAATTGAGCGAGAGCCCTGCTCCTGCTTAGCTCTCCTCAACTCCAAGATGATATATCCGCTGGTGCCCTGCTCACACGATATCACGCACTATGTGACAGATTATGACTTGCGTCAAGTGGCTGAGCTTCAGTGGCAGGCAGTGGTTGAGCACATGTATTTGAAGCAGGGGAAATTAAAAAACTACCTGGCTGTGTATGACAGGCAATCTTGACTGACCAAGCCAATGATGTGGCTTTGGCTTTGGCTTTGACAGTGTTGGTGTTCGACCTGGGCGGGGCACCATGGAAAGGAAAGGCCATCACTTTTGGTCGAAACCCTCGGCTGTTTACCATACAAGACCGTGATCTCAGGTCCAAGAGCGCCTTTGTGAGGAGAATGGACGAAATGGTTGATGTGACGTGAAGGCTGATATGAAACTCTGCCAAATAGTATCAAGATCTTGTTGTCTCCTACTGCCTTTAATTTTCATTCCATTAAACTCTTCAGCATTCAACTCGCTGCTGGGAAGCTGAATAACTGCTGGCGAGAAGACAGAATAAATCCCAGCTTCTTCATGGGAAAACCGGCAGACATTGTCAAGCAAAGATTACCGATCAAAGGGGTCGGTGGAGATTTACAATCGAAATGACCTCTTCTCTTGGTGATGTATTGTTTTCCAGCAACTGGAGAAAGAATGTTCAGGTTTAGCCCTGTGCTTCGTGGACTACCAACGAGGCTGGTTAATTTGATGGAGAACGGTGATTTACAACAGCAAAACCAAAATTTGTTAAAATGATTAACTTGTTATTTTGAATGTTTTCAAAGAGGAGAAAGAACATGATTCGTAAAGGAAATAACAGATTGAGTTATGCAAACATCAGGTTATATCATTTGAAGCTACCACGGAGAGTTAAACTAAGACGGTCTAATTAAGCAACTGAGATCAAAACGAAACACTTTGTATGAGGAAAATTGAACAAATTCCCAGGCTCCGTGGCCTTCTTTGAGCATAATAAATCTTCGTCCTAAATAAGTAAATGAAGAACTGCAACGGGCCTCCTAAGATGAATCTGTTACGTCCTTTTTGTAATTCAGGATCACCTAGTGTACAAGTTTGGCCTTACGATTCTCACCTTTTGTACAACGAATACATGTCACTGCCAACCAACTGCCCTGACAGCCATTTGTGCCAATCCTGATCTTGCTATGACTCGGGGCTTCTCACTTACAGATTTGCTGACTTGTTGATGACTCCCACATCTGCTTACTTTTTATCCTCGAGTTACTGCCCCTCTGGGCTACTGCATTTTTGCTGCAAGTTATTATTTTCCCTTATGTGGTGACTTGCAACAAGACAAAATTTAATATTATACGCATTCATAGTTATACAAGATCCAGTATCTATCGACACCATAAGCACGTATAATCCAAAAATAATAATTAAGGCCATGCAAAATGCATGATTTTTCCATGCCTTTTGTTTTTTTGAACAAATGAATTTTTACTCAAATAACTCCCCTGACCTACAAATCCCAATCACAAAAAATCACTTGAACCAAACATTCATGCAATAAAACAAAATAAATTGCCCGGAAAGTAGGTATAATTACTCAAAAAACTTGCTGGCTAGATTTCTAGATATGAGTTTATCCCAAGATAACCTAGTAATTTGTTTA